TTAAAGACATTTATATTTTACGACTTTTTCAACTGGGTTCAAACAAATAAAAATGTAAAATCTAATTAATTCTAGCAAATTGCAATGGCATACGTATACATTGAAACTTGATATTTACATTCTATGTATGTTAAAGATGATAGATTATATATATATACAYCCACACATATATATTACAAATATATATTTAAAGCCGTAAAATGTTTGAAAACTAAATTTATAATATTTTTTTCTAAACCTTGCTAGCTGTGCTGGTGAGTATGCGCTCGCATTATTTGTTTGTGTCCACATGTAACCAAAACAGAACAAAAAACAAAAAAAAAAAACTAAAATTAAAAACAATTGTATTGTGTGTTTTATGCTATTTGTTAAGACGGACATAAAGGCAATTTACTGTAAAGAAAAACTGATCTGAAACTAAAATATAATACAAACACACACATACATATACACATAAATAATAATTACATTTAATATAATAATAAATTAAATGGTAATAAAACAGATGCTATATACAAATGAAATTGTTGGTTTTAATGGCGTGGGAAATTTTAAGAAAAATGAGAAGAAGGCAACGTTAGATTCGGCTGCACCGAAGTTGATTTTTATCGTTCAGTTTGTATGGCAGCTATATTCTTTAGTGATCCCATGTCGGCGATTCCGACAAATGAGGGAATTCAAATTCTTGGGGAAAAAGAACACTTGATGAATTTTAGATTTATATCTCAAAAGCTGGCAAGGCTAGTTCGTGTATAGTATACAGATAGACGGACAGACAGACATGATTAAATTGATTCAACTCTTCACGCTGATCCTGTCAACATAATCGATATACTGAGCGTACTATTCTTAACACCATCAGCCATCTTGAGACATAGCATTCATAATTGGATACTATTCGGCCGAATAGACCACGCGTCCAGCAAGCAGTGAAGAAAATATAGCAATTGTAGCTGAAAGTGTACACGAAGACCGTGGAGAGTCTATTCGGTGCCATTCGCATTTAAAGAGACTGACGTATGGAACGACTTGGCGCAGTTTACGTCGAAATCTTAAATTGATAGCAAACAAAATATAGATTGTGCAAGAACTGAAGTCGCTCAACCTTCCCAAGCGACACCATTTCTGGCTCAAAGGGTATGTAAACAAGCGAAATTGGCGCATTTGGGATGAAGAGCAACCTCAAGAGATTCAAGAGCTTCCATTTCTTCCAAAAAAAAAAAAAAAAACAATTTGGTGTGGTTTTTGGCCGTTGGAATCATCGATTCATATTTCTTCAAAAGTGATGGCGGTGAGAGCGTAACCATTAATGGTGACCGTTATCGCGTCATGATAACCGCGAACTGCGAACAACATTTGAAAGAGATAATCTTAAAAAAAGTAGTCGTACTTCATCGACAAAACCGAGAACCAATAAGTCTCTTTTGTCAATAAGGCGTCTCCTGAGTGCTCTATGTGAGCATAGAGTCTGATTGAGCTTGATTTTTGTCAATTAGTTTATTGCTCATTTCCATGCATATACATATCTACGGCTGGAACTCCAAATATGAGTGATGTGAACTAAATCCGCGCTTAAACTAAATATTCCCTCGGTTTCTTCGAATGCTTTGAAAGTCGAGACTCGATATCTTTCTTAATGCTTGAGGAATCTAACGACAGGAACTTTTTCTAACTACTAACACAAGGAACTTAAGATGCCATAATCTAGGTTCTCTATCAGTTGTTTCGTCTTTAAAATTTGTACACTTGTATCACATCACTTTACATCCATCTCGATTATTTTTTGCTCTCACCTTCATCGATTATATGAATAAAGTTATTATATCCTGTGTAAAATGTTGCAAGTGTATTAAAAGCTCAAGATGTGGCTGAGTCTTCATTGTTATCAGCAACACTCAATTAAGTGGTGAGCTTTTTAAAACTTTAAGTTCATTTTTCACACAAACATATGTACATAGTATTTACTTCGTATGTATATATATGTATGTATATATAGTAAAAAATACATTCTCCCAAACAAGTGTGTTTTTAGGACCCCAAACCATTGTTGTAAAGGAGCTTGTGGAGCTTTTGAAGCAAAGTCCTTGTCACTAACACGATACTGTGGTGAAAAGCTCTAGATATATTCTTTAAATGCTTAAGGAAAGGTGAGTAAATACGAAAAGTTGTTGAAGTCATTCTTAGCAAAGCGATTTAGGCACACGGCGCCGTTTCTATTATTATCTAACAAATAGTAAATTATGACGAATCATTTATATTATATTTTTACCTATGTCTGTAATGAAATTGATACAAGTTGTGGTTACAACTTTATCGAATGTTTCATCAAATGTCACCTTGTTATCAGTAGCCACAGTGGTCTTGCAATTCAGCAGCTCCACCTTACATGTTTTTTGCACATAAAGAAAATGAACACACACATGAAAAACTGATAGTAAAATTGCCAGATAGTGTTGTTCGTATTACTCATAACATATTTTGCCTTTACTAATACGAGTGTCGATTGATAAGATAGTGGGAATAACTCAAAATGCAACCATGCTACTGTTGGTTTAAAGACAGCGCGAAAGTCGGAGCAGTGTGGCAGAAAAAGCCAAAAAAAGATTGCTGCAATAAACCCTTGACATTGTTCAATTATAAAGGGTGATCYWKTTCGAGGTTCCCTAATTTTTTAAAGGAAAAACACAGAAACTTCAAATTTAATGGTGAATGTTTATATTCGAAAAAAATTCTTTGGCGTTTTTTTACGCTTTTAATTTAAGATTTCGAAGTRAAATTCSCCAAGCCGTTCCATACGKGAAAATCGGTTGTTGCATGTGATGTGTGGCACGTAGCCCCGTCTTGTTGGAACCAGATGTTATCAAGATCAACTTCTTCCAATTGCGACCATACGAATAAGAAGTTGGTTATCATCGATCAGGTCTTCTGGAGTTTCAGTCTTTCTGTCGCAGAACTGGCAATTTGCACAAGAAGTTAGGCTCATGTTATATATGTATGTAAGTGCTTCTTCAGCTTACAGCAGGCAGTATAGAATACGATAARCAGCCTGAGTTTGTCTCTAGGGAGGTTGAAAATATATTTAACTGAGGTTATAACTTGCCATTAGCAATTTAGAATGGTGCATGCCATGGCGTTGTTGCTAATATCTCTCTCTGCGCATTCCAACTTCCTTGCGGAGCTGCTCCTTTACCCACCGCGATGAAGAGTTCAGGTTATACCATRTTAGTGGATGCTGCGGAGCTGGCGAGCTCATCAGTCAGTTCATTCTAGGCTATACCTTTGTGCCCAGATAAGGTGTACTTGGCTACGTTCTGCTAGATTATTGCGCCATTCTCTACACTGCTGTACCAATAGCGACTTGATCTCAAAGGCGAATATTGCCTTAAGTGCCGCTTGACTGTTGCTAAGTATGGTTATACGTTTGTTGTGATAGATGCGTTGAAGGTTTATCYYTACGCCCCGACTTGTGGTTTGAAAAATGCTCGGAAAACTCTCTACCYCCAAGGGTTAGATTCCTGAGGCCGGGTAGGGACCTACGTCTCGTAAGCGGGATGATGGTCGTCGTAGAAAAGTTGATGTTCCGCTTGTATCAAGTCCAAAGCGTGTCCACGAATTTTCCTCTAGTTAAATATCTCTTAACTTATCACCTAAAGTTTTGGAAGGTTTCTACCGCTTTAAAATGAATATTTATTAAATAAAGTCCACAGAGTAGAAGAATATTCGGGATTTCCATCATCATCACTAACTTTTTTAGCAAAATTTTCCTTTGCGTTGCGTATATTTTTGTATATATGTTTTTATTTTATTTATTTTTCCGCTTAAAAAAATTGTGGCGGTCGTTGATGCAACTTGAATAATGTGCAGTGAACGTGTCAAATTTGCTTTGTTGCTGTGGCTCATTGTTGACATGCAAAAAGCGTTGCTCATGCGCATAATTGCCATTTCTCATTTTTTATTACACACATTATTGGTTTATTACATGCATACATACATATAT